TTATAACGGTACCCCCCTTGAATAATATTATTTTCCACCCTGTAGAAAAATTATAATAATCTTTTATTTCGAAAATTTATTTATTTTTTTTTTATATTAGTTTAATTCTGAACATTCAAAAGTTTAACACTGATTGCGACTTGATTGATTTTACACATCGACGTCATGAACATAAATAGAAGTCCTAACGAAGTTTATACTTTGAATATCTCAGTATTATTAATATTATGTATTTATAGAATTAAATTGTTTCGTCAAAACAAAATAATTATTCTAGTGAATGACAACAGTCTATGGCTAGTTTCACTGAACGATATCATCAAGAATTCTAAACAGACATGTCATGATTAAAAATAATCAATTCTGTTTTTTTTTTCTTTTCTATTTAATTAATATTAATGAATTTATTTTATTGTATTTGAAAAAAACACAAATAAATAAAGGAGAAAAAAAATTAAAATTATTGTAAATTATATTTATTTAAAAGACCTAATAATTCAGTTGGTAATTGTTGTTGACTGGTCGTTAAAATTCTTTCACCTGTGCCACTATCAATTATTTCTGTGAATAATGTATTTTGTTGTTGTTGCTGCTGCATTGATCGTTGTGTTGAAGGTCGTGTTTGATAACGATTATTAAATGCAACTGGTCGTCGATGATGTTGAGGTTGATAATTACTATGTAAACTATGAAGTGATGGTGATGGTGATGGTCCACGAGATGATGCTGTTGTAACATGTAATTCATGAACTGAATGATGTCGTGATAATGGTGCATACGTTGATGGCAATTGTGTTCGAACATCCGATGTAAATGTTAATGGTGAAGATTGGTATTGATGACGTGGTTGAGATTTTGAACGATGTACTTCATTTTGTGAGCGATGTAATTGTTTTTGTGAATGAAAAGATTCTTTAACAGTTCGAGTTGTTGATGGGGATCGATGATGAATATTATCGATTGATTGTGCTCGATCAGTAACTACTACCGGTACAAAACGATCAGGCATTTTTTTATAATGAACAAGTTTTTCAGTAACATAATATTTCTTTGCAACACCTATTTTTCCATCACAAATATGAACATTAGGTTGTTGTTGTTGATGATATTGTTGACGTCTTTGTTGTAGTAGTAGTTCTTTTTCATATTGTTGCTGTTGTAATAATTGTTGTTCATATTGTCGCTGTTGTTGTTGTAGTAGTAGTTGTTGTTCATATGGTTGCTGTTGTATTATTGGTTGTTCGTATTGTTGCTGTTGTAGTAATTGTTGTTCATATTGTTGTTGTATTATTGGTGGCTGATATTGTTGCTGTTGTATTATTGGTTGTTGATATGGTTGCTGTTGTATTATTGTTTGTTGACATTGTTGCTGTTGTATTACTGGTTGTTGATATTGTTGCTGCTGTAATAGTTGTTGTTGATATTGTTGCTGTTGTAATAATTGTTGTTGATATTGTTGCTGTTGTAATTGTTGTTGGTAAAGCTGCTCTTGTTGTTTTTGTTGTTGCAACAGTAGTTGTTGTTGATATTGTTGCTGTTGTTGTTGTTGTTGCAGTAGTAGTTGTTGTTCATATTGTTGTTGTTGATAGTGTGGCTGTGGCTGTGGTGGTGGTGGTTGGTGTAGTTGCTGTTCATATTGTTGTTTTTGTTGACGATAACGATTTAATGCTTGTAAATATTTAGCAGATTCAATTTCAGTACGTTTATCACGTGATAAAAACCAACGTAATGTTCGATCTGTATGTGATCGTGGATAATATTGTGGTGAAAGTACTTGTTGTGTTGTTGCACGAATTTCTTGTTGAGTTAATGGAGGTATAACTGTTCGGTATGGATCATTGACAATAACCTGTGGCAATGATGAACCAAGTGGACGACCTTCACGAGCTTCACGATCGAGGATATAAAGTATATTCCAATATTTTAATGCATAAGGTAAATCAGCATACATAACTCCATTATATTCATAGGTCGTTTTTTCTTCAATTCTAATTGTTTCTCCTGGTATACGCATATATCGAATTCTTGAACGTGGTCCATCTTCTTGTAAATAATCAGTAGAATATGAACGACGTAAAGTATTTGCTGCTGATTCATTAACATAATCATCAACACGAACAAATAATTCTTGTTCTTTTGCATTTTGTGGTTCTTGTAATTGTTCTTGTTCTTGTTGATTTGCATCATAAAAATCTTTAACATGAATAATACGTGCACGTACATAACGTTGTCCACCTGTATAACTAATTGATAATGAACGACGTGAAGGTTCATGTTTATAACGTGGTGGTGCATGTTCATGTGGTCGTATTGCTCCACGCATAGAATGAATTTCACGTTCAATTAATGCACGACGTCCAGAACCTAATTTAAAAATATAACAAATAAGAAAATTTTTTAACAAAAAAAAAGAAAATTTTTTACCAAGATAAAATTCGGCTTCGGATGTAGGTTCTGGTTGTTGTTGTGGAACAGTTTGCATTCTACGATAATGTTGCTCAAGTATACGTTGTTGTTGTTCAATATCACGACGATATTTAGCATAATCAAATGGTGCTTGTGGAACATGATGAATTTCACGTTGAAATACTTCTTGTGGAACATGATGAACTTCACGTTGAAATACTTCTTGTGGAACATGATAAAT